TTAAAGTTGTAGCCTAACAATTCACACTTTTCTTTACATATAGTGCTTTATGTAGAGTATTCTCCTTTTGACACTTATGACAATATGAGTCTAACTTCAATAGTTAGCTCTCTGACTCAGACTGTTTAATTGTTTAGCCATAGTGTTTACGGGAATAGACCTTTACTGTGTGTGGTCTGCTAAAGACTGAAGGTTTGTGTGAAACAGCGAAAGGTGAGAGTGCAGACCTCAGAAGAATGTAGCACAGACTCTGTAATGAACCCATAGAGTCAGAAACTACTGAAGAACCAGAGGTGAGAAACATACAAACGCCTAACAATTCACACTGACCAGCTGTAACAAGCTGAAAAGTTTTTCCTTTGCGTTGCATGGTAACAAGGCCATTCTAAGTATTATGACATTACGTACACCTGCTAACTTATGATGTCAAAGCTTTGATATTTTTGATTTTTATTTAGCACCCGACCCAGACAATCAAAGCTTTGAAGATAATGAATACCTTCTCTGGCCCTGTTTACTAAGAAGCGCTTTGGTCAATTGGATTGCAAATGGACGAGGGAAACACATTCCCATTTACACCTGATGTTTTAATCCGTCTCTTTTGTCCACTTTCAACCACTTTTGTACTGATTTATTTGAGGAGAGGGACGGTCTATGGGTGGGTAAACTTGTGTTTTTTTTTTTTTTTTCAGATCTTTCGATCTAGTGGATAAAACAAGCTTGCACAATATTTTAAAGGAGACTCCAGAGAGCAGAAGCTTTCGTTTCTGCTCTGACAGCCACAAGACCACACCAAACTTGGTACATTTTCCATCTTCAACCCAAACTTGGGTCTTCAGCCAACAAATTTTAAATCCAGTCTTCCCATAATGTTAACACATTAAGTCAGTAGGCGGACAGTAGGTTTGTGGCTGTTCGAACACATTCGACTACGAGTGCTTTAGGAAAGCAATCTGGCCTAATCCGTTGTCCACTATCTCTGGAAATAGTAGAAAGTGGACAAGCTCAAAGTGTTTTAGACCCTGTACATAGCGTCGTCCACTTTCCGATCTGATTGACCAAAAAGCATCTTAAAGGTGCATTGCGCAACATTTCATGTTAAAAAAATATGCGTTTTTCGGTAACGCTTCTTTTACAGTCCAGTTACCCATGTAAATACTATGTACTTATTTTAGTAACTACAATTACTGGGTAATAACTAGTACTAACCCTGAACCTACCCCTAAACCTACTAGTGATCGACCGATATATCGGCCGGCCGATATATCGGGCCGATATTTGAGGTTTTTACGTGTATCGGAATCGGCCGATACACCGCTGCGCGTTCGCCGATAGTTTTTTTTTTTTTTTTCCGGCGTTATTTATAGACAGGCGGCCATGGGCAGCTCCGTGCTGCTGGAGATGCTGCAGTTCACGTGCCCCGCCCTCCCCCACTAGCAGAGTGCAACCTGCTCTTCACGAGAATGGTAACTTAAACTTTCAAAGGATCTTTTATGTTTGACTGCTGAAATATTGTCAAACACTTTGAAAATGGAAACCCGTCGCCCTATAACTGTTATGTGCTTGCAACTAAGCAAGTTTGTGGGTCCAAATGGAAAACGCGAATGCCTCGTCTATAAAACTTAACTGCTTGCCATTGTATTAGGGAGCTGCAAATAGCTAAGGTGTAGGCTATCCGTTCAGTATGCATTAGGACTGTCTATGAATATTCTACATTCGAATATTTATTAATTTTGAAGGTGAAAATTAATATTTGAATGTGGAAAAACACGCCCGCGGTTGCAGACTAATAACGTTACTACAGCTGCACAGGTCGCTCGGAGCGCTCACTGTCGGTTATATACTGTGAAACTTCAATCACTGAATGAAGCCTGCAATATTTGGGACAAGAGTCGCGACTCGCAACCTTAAATTGCTTGCACAAAACTCTTAATCAGCACTCAACATTTGTTTGTTGATCATTTAACCGACGCGCAGAGAGCGTGAGGGCGAGAGAGAGAGAGTGCCTGTGCGAGACAGAGTGAGCTCTGCGGTCTTGGCCATTAGTTGATTTACTTGCTTTTTAATACGTTGTCAAATATGTTTAAACTCAAATAAACTATCTAATACTAGTAGTTATGTCTCTTTGTATTAATGTGTCCTGTTATTGACGTAATGCGCGTCAATAACAAAACGCGCAAAGGGATGTTCGAATATGTTTTTTAGAGGGAATATGCAAACGCCATTTGAGCAATTTTAACAGCCCTAGTATGCATAGCTGTTATGAACACTGGTCATAGGATTAAGTAATGCCAACGTTGTTCTGTGCTTTTTGTGGATATTTATTCAGCGCCCACCTGGTTGAGGTTTGGACGCGTGTGGTGTAAATTAGTGTAAAATAAATTAGAGGGATTCGGGACGTAATTTGAGACTGGGCGTGACGTCATGTGCGTTCACGCTCACCTGGCTATGTTTGGCAGGTTCTCCGTATCAGCGAAGACAACTCGAGCGGCAAAACTTTTGTCAACTTTCGACAAAAGTAGAAGATGGATTTAAAGAGACCGGCTGCAGTTCATTCCAAACCCCAACGCAAACTCCACGTAAGACAAAGAAAATAAAACTTTTGTCTAGTGCCAGGTGTCGGAATAAGACGAGAGTCAACATCGGGAAGAGATCCATGTGATCCATGAGCGTGCACACCTCTGGTTGCAGTTTCGCTTGTCGCCAGAGGGGGCGTAGTTCTGCAAAAACCCAGAGACTTGCACAATGCACCTTTAATACCAAACAGGGTCTCTGATGTTTAAAGTTTCACTGAGCTAATTTTTGGAGTCACTCCAAATCCCCAGAACCATTTTTCCATTCCACTGGGAAGGAAATACATAATGTTATCATCAATAAATCTTCACTGAATATTACATTATTCTCTCTAAAATGTTACAGCTTTCTATCAGTGGAGAATCCAGTTGGTTTGTTTGCACCATTTCTCCTTGCCTTTGTTGTCATGGTTACTAGTTTGATTTCATTATCTCATTCATCTATGTTCCCCTCATTATCCTGTGTACATAAGTTATTGTGTTTCATTCTTTGGTTGTCGGATATTGACTCTGGTCGGTTGTGTTTTCCTGCCAGTCACTGGATGTATTCCTGTGGCGTTGAACTTTCCTCTTCCTTGTTGTGCACCGAAGATATTGGTTTATTTTCTACATTTTTCTTTGGTTAGATTGGGGTTAGATTAAGGATTGTTCTGTTATATTTTGTTCTTTCCTTTGGCACCGCTTTTGCTCTTTTCCCATTTATTGTTTGTTTGTTCACCTAATTATTTCGGTACATAGCACACCTTATTTTTGTTGCTTTGACTGGATTCAGTGGCTTCAGCTTGTTGTAAATAAAGTCCAGTTTTTTTCCCTTCAAGAAGAGGCTGTCATGTATTCTTCCAGCACATCTCACCCTTAGTAGTACGTTAATATATAAATGTTGTGGTATCTGCCCTAGACCTTTCAAGGTTCGTAACAATTGTTTCCAATTTGTGACAATCAGTAATGGATGAGATGGAATAGTAGGCGACACCCACTCGCACATGCATACACACGCAGGGCCCACACGCATAGTAAGAGCTCAAGTTATTTTTGTAAACTCTTCCTTTGGATGAGAGTTTTTTTTTTTTTTTTTAATGTGCTGTATGGGAAAATTTTCCTTTAGGGAACTGAAAAGCGCTGCAGGTCTGGATGACATTCCAGCTCTCGCTGTGTCTGTGCCTGTCTAATACTGTTACACTCTCCAGAGCCATGTTATCTTCACACATATACAGCGGTGTCCCAGAGGGAAATTTTATTACTCAAGAGTTTAGAGTTTGGAATAGTTTCATATAAGTAATACCTTTTTCCTAATTCATCAGTGGGTATAAAATAGACACAGATGAGACAATTGTTGTTATACAGTATATGATTCACAGCTACAGTTTACAATTATTACGATATATTTCGATATATTTCAAATAGTGATTTGATTGGGCAGAACTTGTGAAAAAGATGTACACTTTAGATATAGTACTTATTACATAAATAATATACTAAAAATAATATACTTAAAAATATACTGTACTTAAAAAGAATAAGTGCAAACTGATGTTTTCAGACACCCAATTGCATGTTATTTACAATTAAAGGAAAATGTATTATAGTGTATATTTGTATTAAATACAATTCTAAAGTTGAACTTTAGAGTGAATTTTTGACCCGAATTTCAATTATTTTCTATTCTATTGCCTTTGAAATTAGTGCATGTACTGATGCTGTCTATCGTTTCTGTTGAAATTTGTAAAGAATTGCACTTAATTGTAAACTTCAAATCTAAAAAAAAGTATATAATTTGAAAAATAACTGTACTAAGAGGTTATATAATATTAATAAAATAAGGCCAGTAAAGAGCCCATAAAGAAAGTACGCTTTCAAGTACATAGTATTGTAATAATATTTTGTGGTGCTGTACAAGGTTATGTCCCATTATTTCAGTGGTGTAGTATTTGTCATGGTCATGTGATCATGACAGCCAAAAGGTGGACTATCCTTATGTAGAATAAAGGTGAACATGATTTCACCAAGTACAACATGTTCCTGAATCAACACCTTCATTGATCAAGTTACCAGTACAACCAGGGTTAGGTGCTTCTACATCAGTTTATTCCCCTCTGACTTTAGGAATAAGTTATGGGAATAGTTAGGACTAAATTTTTGCATTGGAATGATGTTCCAGGATTGATTAAATATGTTGTTGAACATGTCAGACTTGGAAAAATCACAGTGAGCTAGAATAAAACAATTTTTTTCTAGAGTAGACCATGGACTCTTCATCTATATATACTGTATATATTATTTATTTATTTATTTATTTTATTTTTACTATGGGTCCCATTGCAGTCCACAAGGTGGAGCACTGCTCTCCAACACACACACATAGAGCTAAACAACGTGCAGGGGGAGTGTCAGTGGGTAAGAAGAAGGCAGCTGGCACGCAGCTGATTTGTCTGGAGGGTTTCACAGCAAAGTGTGGCATTCATGACCCAGCGTTCATGCAGTACAGACTGTCCACAGCTTACTTGCCAGCCTCTGCTGCTCTGGACAGATCCCAAACGCATAGAGAGAGAGAGAGAGAGAACGTGAGTGAGAGAGACAGAGAGCGAGAGAGAGAGAGGAGAGCAGATGTGGTTAGTGTGACAGAGGAGGGAACAGTTAGGTGAACTCTAGAGGGGAATCCTGAGAGCAGAAAGAAAGGCGAGTGAGGACACAGAACTTTCCACAGCTTTTATCCTTTCACATTCCATTGATTTTACTAGATCCTTAAGCTTTTAAACATGGAAGTGATTCAAGACAGCCATCTGCACCTGGAGGTGCCTGAGCTGCACAAATCCCTTACTGAGATCTCAGAAGATGAAGTGAACCTCCAAGCCTCTGATGATGAAGATGAAGCCAACACTGAGAACAAAACAAAAGATGCCGATGAGAAAGAAGAGGCAGCTGAGGAAGAGAAAGGTGAGATGAACGGAGTCATGGTCCTGGCGCTGCTGGACAAAATCATCGGAGCCGTGGACCAGATCCAGCAGACGCAGGCCGGGCTGGAAGCCCGTCAAAAGGAGATGGAGAGATCAGTGACGGGCATCCAGGGGGAACTCACCAAACTGTCCAAGAACCACACCACCACGGCAAACACGGTCAATAAGATGCTGGAGAAGGTGCGTAAGGTGAGCGTCAACGTCAAGTCAGTGCGGGGGAACATGGAGAAGCAGGCCGGGCAGATCAAACGTCTGGAGAGCAACGAGAACGAACTTCTGAAGAGAAGAAACTTCAAAGTCATGATCTACCAGGTGAGGGGTGTGCACACAGACGACACTTAGGACAGTTACACTTCAATGACATCAACATTGTCTTAAATGCTTCTCTTGAAGTTTCCTGAATGCTGACAATAAGAGTATATGCACAAATAGCTCAGATCTTGGGGGAAATTGATAAGAAACGTTATTGTTATCTCTTCATTGTTCATAAAAGTCTCCATTTGCTCTCTATTGAATGTTATTGGTGTCTGGGAGAAACCATTGGGATATTGACGAAATCTCATTTGTGTTTTTTCTTTCCATAATTCTAATATTTTGTAGAAGACATCACAACTATGTTTTGTAAATGAGATTTGCATTATAGATTCGTATAGGCCAGTGTAATGTAAAATGCAGGGTACATCACATGCCACAGTTAGTTGGTAGGGTGTGGCTTTGGGGGATGAGTATATCGGTAACACTTTAGTTTAGGGTCCGACTATCACTATTTACTATAGTTGATTGTAAGCATATTGGCTGTTTATTAGTACTTTAAGCACATATTAATGCCTTATTCTGCATGACCATATTCTACATTCCTTAATAGGCTCCCTAAACTTAACAACTACCTTACTAATTATTAATAAGCAGCAATTAGAAGTTTATTGAGGAAAACATCGTAGTCGTTAGAACTGGACCCTAAAGTGTGACCAGGATATCTTTCTATTATTAAACAGAACCATTTTTATAGTGGCACTATAAAGTGTTTGCATACTTAAAATGCATGAATGCCATTGCATTACAACAAAATGTCACTTGTTTTACAGAATGAAAGTATAAGCACACTTTTCAAGCACAACATATAGCAAGAAGTTTAAGTCGCATACGGTTACACTGTACAGGTGTACCCTTTTCATTCAATTTACAGACATTTCATACAAATCTAATGCGTGCTTCAAAATACAAGTAAAACACTTTATTTAAAAATCAGTTTATTTGTTTATCTGTTTACAAATCTTCATATTAGTGCAGTACACTCTTCTTGTGTAAAACTTGAGTGTAAATTTAAGATTACAAAGATATTTGGTCAGGTTTATAGTGAAATGTAGTGAACTGACCTCATAAAAATCACCACATGATTAAAAGCCATTGGGCAAAAAATAATGTAGAAAAGACTTCTGAGAAGAAGCAACATCTTTGACATTTTGTTATCTGATATTCCAGCCCATTCTCAAGGCGTCACCTAACTGACGCCTTGGGAAGCATTTGACCGTGCTTCAATATCTGACGCTTTAGGCGCCCTTTAGCGTCAGTTAGATGACGCCCCTAGGATCGCGTGTACCCTACCCCCACCCCACACCTAAACCTAACCGCGTCCTCTAACTGACACTTTCCTTTAGCGTCAGTTAGATGACCCCATAGGATCGCGTCATGTAAGTGACGCTAAAGGGCGCTTAAAACGTCAAATATTGAAGCATGGTCAAAGGTGACGCCTTGGGGTGAGAATGTGTTGGATATTCAGACATTAAGGTGTGGCATAAAGGTGTATAGTTCACTCTAAAATGAAAATTTTGTCATCATTTACTCACCCTCAAGTTGTTCCAAATCTGTTTGAGTTTCTTTCTTTCTAGACAGTTGATAGTAGCCACATCGTAAAAACATCAATGGCTACCATCAACTGTCTGGTTACCAACATTCTTCAAAATTTATTTTTAAGTGCTCAACAGAAGAAAGAAACTTATAAAGGTTTGGAACAACATGAGGATGAGTATGATGACTGAATGTTATTCTGGGGTAAACTATCCCTTTAAGTAAAAAAAAAAAATGTATTTATTCTGATTTCTGAAGGAAAAAAAACTGTTATTGTGAACAGACGGGCACATATTCTGAGTGTGTTAGGAGCTGGGCTACCTGCTGCCTTATAAAAGCAGGATTCTGTTTGATGGCCGCAGAATAAACGAACGCTGACATGTTTTTACATGCATTCTCTCCCCAACACAGCAGTCATGCTGTATTAATGTTGAGAAGGTCTCTTTCTTTTTCTCAGAGATGGAAAATACCACAAGAAAAATCCAGAGACTATTTTAAAAGGGTGGGAGTGGTTTGTTAGGGAACGAGGGAATGGAAGAACATGAACATAGAGTAAGGAGTTGATGGGAGTGGGAAAACCTACAAAAAATGGTAGCCTCATGCAAAAATAGTCAGAGAGCTTTACTCAGACAGTCTGTCTGTAGTTAGAGGGTTTTTTTCGGCTGTATATTGCGATGTGTAATAGCTTACAGCTTTGCACAGTGGCACAAGAACATTCAGAGTTTCCACACAGTGAGTCAGAAGAGGCTGGAGCTGCCCACCCCGCGCACACACACTTCACTAATTACTCTTCCCAATATCCTTCCTTCGCTCATCAGAGAGGGAGGGCGCGTCGCTCACAATTCCACCCTGTTATTTGAGTTTAGGAAGATCAAATTCCACTCTTTTCATTAATTTGTTCCTTCATTTACTTACTCAATCCCTCTTCTTTTTCAAATAAAAGAAGTCAAATATGCAAATAGATGTGAATACTTGGTCGATTGAGACGCTTTGGCTTCACTTTTCAGGACTTGTGCGGCACACTTGGGCAGGACAGTCCCATTTATAACGACACTCGCTTCAATGTTCTCGGCTTTCGAAAGCATCACCTTTAAAGTCTGATTCATTTGAAGGACGTAGCCTTTGAATTGACCTATGGCTAAGCCACGCCCTCAAACACGATGAGCCAATCACAGTGCGCAGCCAACCCAATACATTCGGACATTTTTTTGCTTCTACGTCCATTGAAATGCATTGCAGTTAGTCAGTTTTCATTCGTTTTTTTCTTGTCATTTTAAGTTTAAAATGGTTAAACGGTGTGCATGGGGTGCATGCAACTCCGACACTATGGGTTCCCGAGAGGCTGGGTGACGATCAAGGGGGTAATCCATCGACCGGAAGTTGAAGCCTCGCGGGAGCTGACATCTTGTAGCAGAACTTCACTTCCGTTAGCATTCCCATTGACTCCCATTCATTTTGGCGTCACTTTGAAAGCGAATAACTTTACATCTGAGGCGTTTGAAGACCCCATTTGTCCTTTATTTATTTCTAAAGAAACACGACGATGTATAAAAAGCTCCATTACCTTGTAGCTTATGTTATGGCCCTGTAGAAGCAGTTTTAGTGAAAGTAGGCTAACGATTGCGTCATACCCACGCGACTCTCTGTGGCACAGTAGAGAGATTACCGCATGGACAGGAGGAGAAGCTCGCGCGCAATCGGGAAAACGTGGAAGCAAAATGACAAAATAATTTAATCAGAATACTTAGCAAACTTGCAGCCTCTGCAAGTTTCGGAAGGGAATGATTCAGATTTCTCATGCCACAGCGCTAGAAGACAGACGGTTTGCTCTCGTCACATCTACGTCAACAAGCTCTGTTTGAGTCTGCGTGTCAGGGACGGAAGTGCTAAAAAAACGCCAAAAATGGGCTTCAATCGTCTCAATGGAGTTCCAATGAGATCGCTCTGTCCATTTCTTATACTGTCTATGGTGACGATGTGTATTTTTTTCTTTGTGGTGCGTTCAAATGTAACATTTTAGCCCAGATGCAGGCGACGTGACGTGAGGTTGACACTAGTTCTTTGATGTCGTTTTGAAAAACTGACCGTAGAAGATATTTAAGCTAATGCCTGCTATAGCACCCTTTGTATAGCAATGCTGGGGATGCTCGTTGTTTTGTAAATTGCATTCTGCCGCATTTTAGAATGCAACGTTGCTTGAAATTAAGCTTCAGTACTGTAAAAGCGTTTACATTCAAACACTTGCATATGTTTCAGGCCTAATGCACGTCATCTGGAGAGTGCTGAACTCATCAGAGCCAAGACGTTTCAGCAATGGCATGCAAATCTAACCATTAGATAATTACATACACATCTGATTTGCATGTTCAACGGGTGTGTTGAAATGGTTTAAGGACAAAGAGCAATCTAATCGTTTGTCTCCTTTGGCACAGTATAGGCCAACTTTCCATATTTCATAATTTGTGAAATGTGTGCTTGACAGACACTCCAGGGTCACGAGTTAGAATGTGTTTAGGGGAGTTTTTTTGTGTGTCCCTGCCCAAAGGAGACGCCCCTCTCTTCACAACCTTTAGATCTTCTGTTCTGTGTGAAAGAATAATAGTTTACATTCAGCAGGGACTGTCATGTAGTGTTGTGGAAGCTAGTTGGCAAGCCACTGAAAGCTAGTCATGATGTAATCACGGCCGCATTAACCATAGGGCTAGGCGGGGCTTAAGCCCCGGGGCCCAAGCAAGGAGGGGGCCCGTGATTGGCTGTGGAGCAGATACTGCAAGCCATCTAATTACCAAAGCCTTACCACGCAACGTCCCCCACAAATTATCCCTGTTATTTAGTTGCACTTTGCCTTATATTCCATGCATTATCATGGAATCATTATCATTAATAGAGACGTTCGCAAAGACCCGCCTTTTTTAGGTACTATGTGACGGGCCACGAGCCAGGCGGCTCTCACGAGTCACGCACATCACGTTCTCATGCACTCACGCAGTGAAAAATATTTTGCGGGGCAAAGACGTTACACCGAGTGATTACGAGAGAGAGTTCAGAGCAGCTTACTGTTGATATGAAACAAAGTCTCAACTTTCAAATATTGTCATTTAAGTAATTTAAACATTACCGTTTTCAAGTTCATGTCCACCGACTGACAGCTTTGTTGTCGGACAAAGTTGCGTATTCGGCGTTATGATTGGCCAGGCCACCTGTCAATCAAACCATGGTAAATTGAAACGTCAGGTTTTAATTTTATATGACAAATATATTTATTCTATATTTAACTTGTGAACGACCGACCTGCTGCTGCACGTAGGCCTATAGATGATTGCTGCCTGCGCCTTATTAGAATAGGCTATACATCAAATCGCCTTTACTCTTCTCTTCATTCTAATCTAGTCTATTCTTAAAACACAGCGTCATCATCGACCCCACAAACTTTCGGTAAGTTTGAATATTAACTTGATGGATGT